CGACGTATACAACACGAGTAAAATACATTGTTTATTTACATGAAATTCGAACACGCGCTGCACGACGACTACCGCGCTTTAACGCTTTCGCAACAATCGATATTATGATTTGTAACATATTGTTGCAGTGAAATGTAATTTTAATTGTGTTTGTAGTAATATTGTTGCAAGTTATTGAGTGGTTGGTAGTAGTTGAATGAAGAATAGGGCATTTCATTCACTGCAGTGACGATAACCGAAACAAATAAAATAGCGAAACACAACTTGGAAATGCAACAATCGAAACAGTCAATGCAGTTATGGTAACCGAAAAATAATGAAATAACGAAATACAAGATACAAAAAATGAGATAATATCTAATGCAGCGATGGTCACCGGCAAAAAATCAAATGGCGAAAAATAAGATACAAAAACGAAATAACATACAATGCAGTTATGATAACCGGAACAAATAATTTAAAAGTAGAAAAATGTGAGATGTAACAAATGAAACATCCAATGCAGTCATGGTGGCGGACACAAATAAAATAACATCCAATGTATTGATAAATACTGTCCAGTCACAAGTCCAGATTTGGACTATTATATATGATCGATATATATGTGTTAGCACGTTTTGGTCAAAAACATGATTTTCAGCATGTTTCTTTCGTAACTGATATACCGCTAGGACAGACGGGACGAGGGACCTATGATAAGCTGATAAATGATCTCCATTAAATACAATCCCCCGACCTCGCCGATGGCAATAGGATTACACCAGATCGACACACCAATGGATAAAGCATCCTATTTTAATTGGAACTACATTGTATAAAATGAACACACGAGACAAAAAAGCGGGCATTCATATCGTCATGAAAGCAACGGTAAACAGACATTGAAGATACGTTATGAAAAACGCTTTACTTTCAACCCGCTCGGGATGAACATTCAATGATTGAAGGATTAAAACAAATTTTGTAAAAACAGATCGTGCAATACACGTCCGAGTCCTTGCGTGTACTTTTTGAACTCAGTCTCAGTGGCACTTGACAGAAAATTAACACACAATTTTGACGAACGCGATTTGGCTATATAAATGACATATCATAATCGCTCTTTTTGCCAGGTGACACCTCATTATTCGTTTGTCTTTTGTCCCCTCATTTTTTTTTATGAAACGAGATGTGTATAGTACAGTGGCAGCTGTGATTATATTTAGCTAGCGGACTCAGAAGGTATTTCATTTATATTTGAGTTTTGAAAAACCTTAGTCGCTCTTCAAAAAGTCATTGCAGTTTACTGTATTCAGTTACAATTTGCGTTTTTTTTAAAGGAAATGAAATGTGACTGTGACTTTGCGTAACGTAACATTACATTACACCACACTCTGTCACGTTGTGTTACGTTACAATACGTTACATTAGGTATACATTATAATATCATATGTAAAGGTAATACATTTCTGATTCAGACGAAGTTACGTTTGGTGATAGTGTTCGGTGTTAAATTAACTGAAAGCCACGCTATTCGCATACGATTGTTTTCTGTTTCGATTGATTTCGTATCTGTAACTGAAAATTTATAGACGCCAACAAAAATCTGTTTTCAATAAATTAAATTCTTTTAAATTTTGTTTCCGTTAAATATTGTTGTTACAGTACCGTGCTGTGATTTGTTCAGTTATGAGATTTGTTTAAAAATTTTAATTCCTCTCAGGGAATTGTATAGTATGTTTTAATAAAATTAAATTTCACCCTACTACTCCATGAATCGGATATTAAAAAGGATAAAGTTCAAAGGTTATTTCACATTATTTTCTTGATATATTAAATATAAAAAGGCCGCGTGGGAAAACAGTGCATCTATCGGTGGCGCAGATAAAATGTTGGCGCACCGTGACTGAATCGCTTATATCATTCTAGCACAGTTAAAGCATGGTCGCTAAAGGGCAAATGGTCCTTGATGCATCCCGTAAAGAAGCCGAATCATTATCCCGTACTATAGGAAGAAACCGATATGGATGAAATGAAAATTCGTTGGACGAAATCTATTCAAAGAAACTAGTACAATCAATGAAAAGCGTAAAAAAAAAAATACCATTCAACTGTGCGAGGACTCGGAGAGAGCACATCTCAGACAGTGTAAGTCTAGCCATTCGTTGTCATGGCAACAGTGAAGGTAATTCTCGTGGGTTCGTTGGTTACACAACGCTATGACAATTACCGCTTGCAGCGCACGACGACGCTAAGAAATTAGAGCGTATTTATCGCACCTCGGTAGCAAAATCAATACGACGGCAGTTAACGTGGTGTTTGAACGCGCTCATCAATCATCGACAGTCACGTGACGCAATTGATCTTCGCTGACAGGTATACGCTGTGGAAAACATTCACTGTTCCGTATGATAACTTGAATATTTAGGGGAATAATAAATTATGTCCGTTGATATTTACAGAAATACATTACACACGTAATATACTGTAAATACATGGATCGTGTCTCAGGGACGGTGTCGTTTGACTGGTTGTAGCCGTACCACCGCGTTTAAAATAACGAATACTTAAACCGTTGTACTACTTTTCAGAACTGGCCGCAAATATCTCTTGCTTTGCTTGACTAACTCATTCAATCTAGCAAGCAATTATATCGAGAACAGTTCTTGAGGCCTAAATCCTAAATTGCAAACTAGCAAATGCGTCTCTGACTCGTACAAATTCTCCATTCTTTATGGACTTTACTATTATTATATTATACATATACATATATTATAAATAAAATATATTCCGCTTTGACGGACTGCCACTGCCATGAGTATGACGTATGTTACTACATATTGTGTGTATCAATGAACTTGTCATATGTCATTTTGTCCCAAATAATTCTAAAATAAATGTACAACATCATAAACATTTTCAAACCGACTAAAATGAAGCTATCGCCGTTCTAGTGAGAACGTATCGTTTGAAAAAAAAAAAAACAGGTAACTACTCGTATATATGATATATATTGTCATCGCCACACAGTGGAGCGAATGGTGAAGAATCTCGTCAGTGCTGGAGAATATACTAACATATTCATAGAAAAGTGAATATTTAGTTCTCCAAATATGGCGTCGCTCGACTCAGTGAAACCGTGCATTCAATTACGGTTCCTATATAATGTTATCTCGGTTTTACTGGTTAGGGGGGGGGGGGGGTGAAACTAACAATAGATGGTAAAGGAAACGTGCGTGCGTAAGAGTTACCATAAAATAAATTTTAAAGATGGAAGACCATTATAATAGCGGCCTTGCATCATCCGGGAAATAGAAATAAACCCGTATAAAAATAGTGCATGCATATTATTTTTATGACGCAATTCGTAGTTTACAGTTACAGCAAAAATTATCGGGCAAAAGCGTAACAGTATATTTTTGAGAGAACATTATACATATACAAAGTATGCAATCGATGTACAGGATATATTTTGTTCAATCAAACTACAATCGGTTGATGTTCGCCCAGACATGTCATGCATTATACTCAATATGTTGTACATTATACAACAGTCTGTTATTTTTTCCCCCGAACAATTACCGCTATTGGGGGGTTGCTTTACTCTAAGCCGATACGAACTGTTCGTTGTGTACAGTGATTGCCGGAACTCGACTTAATTGTAGAATGTTTTAGAACTCTGTGGACATACCCAGAACATGACGTAATTACGAGTCATTTTGTAAATTGCACTTATAGCCGACCGGCATTCATGGCTTTTGATAACACTACTTTGGAATGCAGAACGCGTGCCATTACAAGTATAGCTCTATGTTTTATTATTGGCAGGGAATAGGCTATTTTGGAAGTCTATTGTTCAAATCTCATTTGGGGGGATTGCTCCTACTCCATCACTGTCGACCGCTGGCACTCTGGGCGTAAATAACAAGTCAAACAAGAATGGCTACGGCTTTGTGAAAGTCTGCGCAGAGAAACCAGTTCCGGCTCCATCTATCGAGTAATTAACATTAGACTGATGGCATGCACAGTCACACGTAAATATCACGCACATCAAATGTCACGTCTGCAATATGGATGCACAAACATTGTGATATTCTCCGATCGTTGTGAACAAGGAGTCGCTTAATTGGTCCATTTGGGTGGGTGTTGAGTAAAGGATCCAATCAAACGAGTCGACGTTGAACGAATGAATCGACATCGCTGGGTAAGCTCCAGAAAAGACGACACCCGACAGCTTTCTTTGTTAATGGTGTCATACTACAATAAATATGGAATCGGAATATCCCGTGCAGGCACCCACGACATGATACAGTGAATAATATTTATTGCCGGCGACTTTCTTTAGAATGTCACAGACAACATCTATATAGCTACGGTTCCAGCGTTTATCGATTTCAATGTAATTCCGGTTCCTTCATCAAATGACAGATTTGAAAGATAATTAAATTCTGTATCAATTTCGCTAGGTTTATTTCGTTTAATCAAGGAATTATTCTCAGTTTTAGTAGTCTCTGTTGTGTGGATTATTTTTTCTAATTAGGATACTCGTACAAGACGGCCACCGATGTTGATTCCTTTGAAATTCATCTAATAATTTTGAGGCAAGCATTTTGTCATATATTTGGGATATTTACACAGATATAAACTAAACCGACCATATAACCACGTAAAAACGGTCAAGAACGATTAACGTGCCGGAAAACCGTACTTGTCAGCGTATATTTGACTGAGAACGCGGCACCGCGGAAAAGCCAAAGGTGATAGACCTCTACTAAGAAGAATGATTAATTTTAAAATACGAGGTACGTTATGTGCACCAAAGAAGAAAAAAACGATTCGATTAAAACAGACAACAAGAGATGGACGAGCTGTCTTAGAACGAGGCGATATAATCAATGCCATGCTCAATGCTTTAAACGCTGAGGACACGTACGTGTATAAAAGCCCAGTAGGAATTTAGTCACGTGACCTGTTAATATATTACAGCGTTCGGTGCCGACTGTATAGCTGTAGTCTGTCGGGCTTCATTAGATATCCAATCTAGGGTACATTTGAAAAAGGCATTGTAACGCGTTTATCCTGCCAGCACGGCGACTCAAGTCAGGTAAATATCACTGTCCTAACAGTCTTCTTTTCAATGTCGTTTTTTCTTTGTTTTTCCCGTGCTGCAAAGGAGTAAATCGAGTTGCCGATTTAGGGGCTCTTCGTGCTTGACTGCCGCGTACTCGCATTCAATCCAAGATGGCTTCCACGGTCTGCTCGCACTGCGACTCTAACTGATAGGCACTTAAAATCGATCAAATTAGGGCATTATTTTACGTAGCGCAGCCATTGTTTTTATTGTTTTTGTAGCGTGTGATCTGTAGTTCCCATTTGTGACGTGTTTTTGGAGTGGTATCCGCCATGTAGGGAGAAATTTGACAGAAAGTACGGCATACGTAGCAAGTAAAAGGTCATCGAAATGGAGTTGTCGTTTTCATTGTGCACACGGAGGCGCCCTGACAGCTCATAAACGGTTCAGACTGTCAACGTTTCTAGCTCCGTTTCAAGTGGGAATACGAGATAGTGATTTACCAAGCGTACCAAGAAAAAGCGCAGACTCTACACTATCCTTCCATCATAACGTTTCCAGTCGTTTAATTCAAGTTTTTTAACATTAAAATAAAACGTTCATGTAAGTTAGGTGAGAAGCCCGTTATTCGAAAAGTGAATGCTTTATACCGAAATGTTGTCGTTTATTTAGAGCAAACATTTTTATAATGTCGTGAATTTTATTTATCAGCTGTGGAGCGAATATATCATTGTATCATTTTGCGCCAATTTCGGAGTATTTAGGGATACGGTTATTTTTTTATGTACTTGAAATGGAAACCGACTTTTATGTCTTGATTGATTTCAGACTTCATTTGACTCCGTCAGTTCTGGTCTGATTCTCCTACCACGTCGACACACGTAACACGCGCTGCTTATGTATTGTACATAAGAGTACATAGTTCGAATTATGGATTTGTATTAGATAAATATATATATACATATATAATACATTTCTTAAAGAAAACCATTTTTTCCCGGGCGCTAGTCGGGTGAAGTGCATCTAAATCAATGAGGCGGGTATTTGGCCGGCGATGTACGTAAGTACGGACTATCGAAAACACGGCTTATGAAACCCATATGTGAACGAAATTCGTTCATTTTAGTTTTTTTCACTCAAACATAAGCATTTCATCACTACGTCGTATTATCGACTATCTCGCGTGTTGCGAAAACGTGTGGGTTGTCGACAACTCAGCGACCAAAGAAACCATGAATACTGGTTCGCTATAAATAACTGCTTACGTCTAACTTATATGCTTGTCATACGTGCTTTCCTGGTGTTCGAAGCAGCCTAGCTAGGCAGATGCTGAAATAGCGCCCGGGGTTACTCGCTAACTTCGTTGTTTGAAATCTGAAACAAATTTAAACGGAGTCCGTGTATCGACGACTATTAGTGCCAACGTCTCATCGTTAAACGTCTCAATTGCGAATGTGCCGTATATATCGGACGACCATGACACAAATGTTGGCTGTTTTTCAGGTCTTAGAATCCGGGTGTAGCCATACCGTTTTTAAAGCTGGATAGTAGTATCACACAGCGTGTAACCGCGTGATTTCCGCGTTGCCATCGCTCTTGGATAGTATTCAACGGCTTATCACACCGGAGTTCACGTGTATGTAATTCATGATTTGCCAAGTGCCTCTGAGCGGCTACATCCTGGAACGAATTCGATGTGATTTGTAGACTTGTGGTGATTGAGTTTTGTTGTAAATGGTAACTCCGGTAACATAGTAACCCGCCAAGACCACCCATCTCCAGCGAGCACGACGCTTTATATATAATTACTGGTCTGTTCACATTCGTCGACGTTGAACAACACCAACAATGTGTTTTAGGGACTAAAATAGTCGTGCGATGGCCGATGTTTTGAGTAATTACGCTGCAAGTTAAAATAACCCGGTGAGTTGACAATTCACGACGATTGTGCGGCCTGGACGATTTATTGTCAAGGTAATGCCACGTTGGGTACCTTGTCTCTGTTTCCTTCCAGTTCGTTTTGCAATGACAATGTGCTTCCTGTTAACCGCCTCCGTTGGTTAGTTAATAGGGGAAAGTTTTCAGTCACCGCAGCGGTTCGGGTCTGACGACACAGAACGGAACTTATATAAGAACTGAAATAATACTAAAGTTCGCGCACACATGTTAATGCGTATCTGGTAAACCTTTCCACGGTTTAAACGGTGTTTATAGTTTTTTGTCAGCGAAACCGTGACGTAAATCAATATTCGCGTACGTGATATATGTTTCGTTGGTAAGCCGATAGTCGTACTTGCATCATTCCAGGAGCGAGTTATAAATATTAAAGGGCGGTGGTCAGCGCGCAGCGCTTGTTCAAATTTCAAATAAATAAACAATGTATTTTACACGCGTTGTATACGTCGCTATGAGTCCCACATCGAACAGGACGTGACTGACGACTGCCGCCTTTTAAGTTCCGCAAACGCCTTAGTTTTCAAACGGAATCTAGAAACGCATCAATTCGGGGCAGTGATGATATCCGTAACCACTGTACATAGGTACCTTTATTTGTACATTTGAAATGACCCGTCACTACATTCACTAATACAAGAACCTGTCTTTATAACTGTGTGTTATCCTTGCTTGAAATCGACTCGCCAATCGATTTTGTCAGTGCCGCCTATGTGTTTCACTTCTCTAAAGCGCCCATACACTATTTTTTCAGAGAATTATATTTCACACCACAGGCACAAGTAACGACTTATATAAAATCTAACTGTAATGCACACTCGCCCTCGTTCTATGTAGCGAAGTATTGTATATTACATGTATACTAATGACCGAAATATTAGTCGCAATTCGTCTCAGATGAGATCCGACTCGCATATGGTTCAAGCCGTGGACGACTCGGACAACAGGTTAGAAATACACTAATATTGGCGGGATCTATATGTACCCGATTCGAGTATATTTTAAATATACACAAGTCAACGGGTCGTATTGTTTGATATATCTGGCTATGAAAACATTTTTTTATTTAGTAGTTAGCGTGTTTATCTAAATCTGATTAAAATAATAGACTATACTAAACGTAGGCACAATACGCTATCAACAGCTGTAGTAGTTATTCACGCGTATTTACTAAACAGCTCGTTATGTGACACAACTACATCGCCATTATGACAGCAAGAAGACGGAATAGAGCGTCCAGTAAAAATGTAGTATATTAATTTAATTGGTATTTAGACGCAGTCATTCGTTTTGATAGCATAACGGTGTACGGTGGAATTCACATAAAACGATATTTGGGTCTTGTTTCTTGGGTTATTGTACTCACTGTGACCGCTAGGTGAACTCTCAGGCAATTATATTTAGCTCCGAGGTGAACTTGAAATTCTCCAGTCTGTTGGAAGTTTTCAGTCAAGGTAGTCGAGCTATTTAAAAGCATTATCTGGCGTGACATCGGTAGCGATGACACGGCTTGCTGTGCCCTTCCGTATGAGCGTGATATAATCGGGGAGGGGGACTGTATGTACGGCACACATATTCGACCGGACCTGGTAGGCGTCCCGACAGCAACATTAACACTCGGGAGTTGATGCCTGGCATAAACAAACCGTAAAATGTCGGTGCCAATTTAGCTCACAGACTGAAAAACACAAAATCGAAACTCTTCTTCAATGCCTACTTGTATTTATTATTCTAGATTGAATATAATCATATTGAAAGAATGCAGTACTAAACATTTGTATTTATTTATTTTAATGATTTTCGACACGATCGAACATTTCAACTATGTTTCATCGCCATGTACTGGTATTCATTTGTTTTATTGTGTTGTCTTATTGATTGGTTGATTAAGAATTTCGCTCACGTGGTCAATTAGCAATGTTTGTCTGAGCAGGAACTGTGGTCTGAATCACATTTTCAATTCGCTTGCCAATTATCCGTATCCCGTAGTGTTAAATTCAAATGACTACACATGGGACCATTAGAACCCACGGGGAACGCCAGTGCATTTGAATAACAGCACAACTTAAAACACTTAGTGGTGAATGATGAAACGAGCTTGATATCAGTTAGCCATCGCATCTGATATATGTCGATTTATTTGAGTTCGCAATAGTTGCGCGGGCGGTGACTGACTAAAGGCTGTTCGTCTAGTACCAGGAATCGGTTTTCTAATTTGCAAAGTGATTTTACCACACCTGGTATCTGACACGAATAGTAATGATGAAATTTAATTCATACAAAACCACATGATGAATAATTAAACTTGCAAATATGTTTCTTTTTACAAAACTCATAGTCTCGTTTTTTTGTGTTACTATCTCCGTTGCAGAATGAATCGAACCACGAAGCTGAAAATGACGGAATTGAATCCGCACTTGATGTGTGTGTTATGCGGTGGTTATTTTATTGATGCTACGACAATTATAGAATGTCTTCACTCGTGTAAGTCTACCACAAATCTACTTTCATTTGCCGAGATATATTAATAATAAAACCCTTAGCCCCAAAATTCCTTTATTCAGTTTGAATCCGACAGCGGCTTGTTTGATCGTCATGCATTATGCTAAATCAGCAATATATCATGAAACTACTCAATAACACATATTGTCGATATTATGGTTTATAGTTGTACTATGAACGTGTTGCAACACAGAGTACTTTAACGAATTACAAGACATTGCCCACAAACAGATATAATTCAAATACAAGCGCATTGTAAAGTAATACTGTATATGATGTAATATCAAAAAATGATTTAGTATCATGCTCCCGCTACCCGCTCTAATAATTGTTATTTGTTATCCATTAGTTTGCCGCACTTGTATTATACGTTACCTTGAAAGCAGTAAATATTGTCCCGTTTGCGATACGCAAGTACACAAGACTAGACCATTACAATACATAAGGTATGTGCACGAATTTGCTTTTATGCGTGATTTAAAATACATGTTCAATTGTGATAAAACTACCGTATGTATGTTATTTCAGCATCGGCTTATGCTTTCCACATTGATCAATTTATTCTTATTCCCATATCACGTAATACAACAATGGTAGAATGATTTAACGATATTGCCATGGTAATTTTCTTTTGATTATAGGGTTTATATGATGTACGTGAAATGAAACCAGTGATTTGAATATTTTAAACATTTAAACCAATTTCCCGATCGCTATATACGTGGTCTGAAAGTTGCTTGCGCATAATTTTTTCGAACGCCGATAGTCATCAAATCAGTGACTATCTATTTACATCGGACGTAATAATTTGAGGTTATTGCGCGTTATATTTGGAATTCGCATTTCCTTATATGGTAGGATGAAAATACCCCGTAAAATACCGCAAAATTACGGCACGCTGTAACTTACGGGGCGTTACGGGGACAGATGTATAATAACAAGTATTATTTATAATCCTTTAACATTCAGTCTAGTACATTATACGATAGTACCACGCACTACTAGTATATTGTCACGTACTGAAATATACCGTATTAATCGGCCTTACAACCTTACTGATCTGGTGATCTTCTTATGTTTAATATAGGCCAGACAGAACGCTCCAAAACATTGTTTATAAATTGGTGCCAGGTTTATTTCGAGGTAAGTGGCTACTACACTACACTACATTACGCTACGCTAAACTACGCTACGCTACGCCACGCCACGCCACGCCACGCCACGCCACGCCACACCACACCACACCACACTGCAATGCACTGCGCTGCGCTACGCTGCGCTACGCTACGCTACGCTACGCTACGCTACACTACACTTCACTACACATATTTTTCTTTGCTCTGTGTTTTAGATTAGTCCGTTCAAATGTCAACACATTGCAACTGAATGTTACTCTATGAATTTCACGATACAACTTTCACAAACTTGCCGAGAAAAAAAAATCGTCAAGTGGTGCCGAGTGTATACTGGTGAGTGTATCCCCGGGGTTATCCCAATTATTGAAGTCAGCTTGTTGCCCGCGTTTCCCATGATATTATACCAATTCATTTTTTCAGTTTACCGTTTTTGAGGCATAGTCTCGTGTTTATTGATTGTATGACCTTCAGACATTCTGCTAATATATGTTGATTGCATAATAGTGGCGAGATGCGGCGGATATCGAGATTCGAGTTTATGCAGCTGAAGCCTTCCATTTGCTGCACTTTCCGACATCGTTTAGGTCTATGTGATCATCATTGATACCAATTCAGCATTAATCAATTTAGAAGCAGTAATTAATTTAGATTTTTTTTTACAAAAATATTGCTTTATGATGACCCCCCCATCCTCCCACAAAAAAACCCACAAACATTTCGCTTGCCGTTTATTAATTGTTTCTTGAAAAATTGCAATTCACAATTTACGGATGTAGAGGCGGGTGAAAAAGCTGTTCTCTAAAAACAGGAGCCGTAATCCGCCGAAGGGAAAAAAACGAAACAATATTGTAATACCATTTATTTTCACTATTTTGATTCTTTTACTGGGTTTTAAAGGAAATATATTTTTTTCGCATTAATTTTGTTTTGCGGATTTTACGTATCAGAAAAAAAATATCCGATTAAAAAACCAGCGAATAATGAATGCGTCAAGGAATAAGTAATGTTGATTCTGTAAAGTCAATTTTGAATCGTCGATCGAAATATACCGCGCGCGCTTGAGTGACTTGATGACGCCCTAGGGTGCTGAAAACTCACGATTAAACGAATTCGTGCTCATGCTCGGTAATTGTCAGGTAGTGTCAAGAATTCATAGACCCTGATGCTTTTTCGGGCTACATTTCAACAAAATGGCTAAGAGTTAAACGGCGATCCCGCAATCCGCGAGATTTTACCAAAGTGCGTAGCGGGGGAAATTGTTTACTACGGTACAAACGTTCCCGGATGTGTGTGATATCATATTACGTGTACCAGTCTACCTTCAAAGCGCTAACAGTTTTGATTAACATTTTGATTTGAATAAACATTTAATTGACAAGCATCTTGAAGACTCACTGATGTTTAAAACATGCTTTCTCGTCAACTTTTAGACGAGAATTACGCCTAAAACTTGTCTAACTAGTAAACTAACTTCGAAATCGTATTCTGTAATTATTCATGATTGTATGTAACCTAACAATGCAATACCCCGTCTACATGTATTCCGATTATCGGAAGGAACGATTTCACGTAACACATAGTACACTACAATAATATGAATAGTGCGAGTTTCATATGAAATCTGGCGCGATCTTACCCTTTATACACCAGTTCTGGAGCCGCAGTTTGTATATTCAAACTGTAAATTACAATTTGAATAACGCAAACCGCCTTGTAGAAATGAAAAAAAAAACATATTTGCATCATATACACGAAATAAAGACTGCCAATTTTATTATTTTTTGAAGCGTCCCAGTTATGGGACACCACATTCGAATGTTACACAAGTTGTATACGTCGCGTGGGACTCACATCGTACACGACGCGGCACGTCGACTGTGACGTTTTAAAACACGCCTCTTGGCATTGTGCTATTCATTGTAAACTATTTTATTTTATAAAACGGCAATACATATAACATATTCTCTATTCTTGCAGATGAAATGAAGCGAAGACGCGAATACTACGCCGCGAACCCATCAGCAAAAAGTAGGTAGCTTGCTATTGACTGATTAGCCACGATACTTGTTTTTGCAAAAGAGAATTTAATAATTTTTGGAGGGCAAAAAACATTCTCCTTCCGTCTCAGAGATGCGTTCGGCCAGATCACCGATAGTATCTCTGCCACCACACACCGCCATTCTGTAGTGAAACGCCATAAGACTTACGCGTGTTCTTGGCGTTTTTTATTTTTGTTATTACTAGAGGGATCTCGTGTTGATTTATTTCTACTGGTAAACAAGTTTTAGAATATGTTATCGATAGCTGATAATGCCAGTCGAAGAAATATATTTATTGACATTTATTGATATATTTATTCGTGATATTGGCAACTAACTAACCATATTAAGTAAAAAAAAAGAGCTTCTCACTTTGAAAACGTCGGATTCGAAAATCAAACACCTGCATGGCAATATTTTGGTAGGTGTCTTTGAAAGTACCGTAGTATAACTGTGGTGCGTCGACCAATCAATGACAAGCATAAGATCGCGTGATGGCAGAGATATATTCGTAGAAATACAACTCTACCTGGGAGATTGGGCAAAAACAAGTATCATGGATTTCTCGCCCCCAACGAGATCTCGTCGGCCATTTGTTTTTAATGTTTATTATGATATGATAATTCCGCCATGATTACCACTTGCGTTACGAATTATGTTGTAATTTCTTTCAGGCAAGCCCACTCACAGATTCTCCCGACAGAACGCAGAAGAACGAGGCGAAGTGAACGAAATGTTTATGTACAAAGACGATGAAAAAATGAGTCTATCTTTACAGTATTATCTTTCCGAAGACAATGGACGTTCAAAGTCCTCAAGTTCCGTAACCAATAGCAACACTGATCATCAAAGTGACAGTGACGGCAAAGACGAGGTAAAATCCTTGATAATTATAAATACTAATAACCCAGGATTAAAATCAGTACCTAATCCTCAGACTTATAAAGGTTGTGTACGGTATAAGCCGACTACTGGCTTCGGGCAGTAACTGGCGGTGGTCATACGATATAAGTGGGTGGTACGGCTATGGTGATTTATGGTGTGTGTAATATTAGTAAAGATGTAGGTGATATAATACTGTATGACGTAATCAATCAGCGTATGAACAACTCTTGTATATACTACATGGACCCGGCGGCGGATAAAGTAGTCCAGCCTGAGAACTGCCCCCATGTCGAACGCCCATGGTATAATTAAGTATACATTATAATGTATCTCCCTTCTGTTGACAAAGTATACTGTTATAATAAAAATGATATAGCCATGTTGGTAAGTCGTTTCTCCATTAACTTTGTCATTTAAAGGTTGATTTTTTTTATTAGCATAATCTTTGGAATATATGAATATTTCACTGACGCCACATTAGTTTGTGTATGCTATTTTGAAAAAAAACACGTATGGTGTTCTCGTTATCAATAAAATAAATATGGGTGTCACTGGATAACTATCGTTGCCGGTCACGATCTACTAGTGCCGTCTAACTGACCCGAGCTAACAATCCGTATTTATAAAAATATATTGTTGTCTACCAAGCTGTACAAACGAAACTTGTGATAATATACCGACTTGTCTAATACTGTATTTAGTAACCCATATATACGCATTTTATTTTGATCAAATATGGACATATAGCTGCGTGCGCGTGACTCTCAGGGTACGTCAACAAAATGCTCACGTAACAACATGCGTAGATTATACTCCTGTCAACAATGATTTTTCGTGCTGGGGCGAGGTTTTGTTACTGTAATTCCAACTGTTTTTCTAATCGTTTATTTTTTATTTGCGTCTTGGATTAGGGTGATATTCGCTATCTTAGATGCCCTGCTGCAGTAACAGTACATCACATCAAGAAATTCATTCGAAATAAGTTCGAACTTCCGGTTTCGTACGAGGTAGGTGTTTATAGACTGGGCGCACACATCCGGGGACCCGTCATGACATCATGGTTTTGTCATTGAATGATCATCCAATCAGATCATGATTCAGATCGGCACATTTGTAATACCAAACACTTTTATTTCGGAGTTGTCATAATTATAGAACAGGTCTCTAACGGTCCTTAACAAACCCACTTACATTTTGCCGCCGCCAGGCGTATTGCTATTCTTCTACGGCTGGTTTCAAATCATGTTTGAGTTATTTACATAATTGGATCTTGATTTACCGCAGTTTGCGATGTGAATATACATGTTCAAAATATGCCAAATTTGTAAACCAATCATAGCCATGATAATATGCTGTAGAGTGTAATGACCTTGAACCTAGTAGAGCGCAACATTGGCTTTGTCAGAAAGGAAATATTACTATTATGTTATTGTTCTCAAATAGCGAACTACTTGTTTTCTTTATTTACGCTTCAACTTCATTGTTCTCAAACCCTCAGATCGATATTATGTATCGTTATCGGAAAAGTATTGACTCATTGATCGATCATTATACGTTGATGGACATCGCCTATCTTTACGACTGGAGGAGAGTAAGTACTAACATACAACCCAAATTAATCATACAATGTATATTTCGTCTACATTACAACCCCAGTGTAGAATACATCTTGTAAATTCAATTCTCGCCTACTCATTTGGTATGCAAGGGCAGCTGTCCAGCTCCACTGTAGCATCAGTCGTCGTTCCGCCTCCGGTTCGAAATAGATCCCGTGTATACAACACGTATACTACACAGTCATCTATAGAGGGACTGTGACGTATACAATATTATGAAATTCGACCGCGTATGACGACTATGTCGCTTTGAAAGTTGAATACTACTTCATATTTTATTCCAGAAAAAACAGAAGCTTTTGAACATTATGCAAACCTCACACAGAGCTCGTAATTGTATGCTGTCAGTTTATTAACTCTAAGGGTATAATTTGAATGGCACTTCAATTTGTAAACTTATGCATTTATACTCAACGGACAGATAAGGTCCTGATTGTATTATCGATGCAGAGTGGCTGTTACTGCAAATTATTGTTCCATTTAACAATAATGTGACTTGTAGTACATACTAGAACAAAAGTGCTCTAGGCTTTTTGAATATACGTGTCCGGCTCTTTTCAGTGCTGAATTCAGTCGTTATATTTTGACTAGTTACGTTCTCACTTTGCAAATATGTGAAACATTACGACTAGAACATGTAAAAATGATGTTGTTTTTGCACAGTATGTTTTTCTAAAGATATACATGATATTAAAAACATATATGCTGTCTTGACCTTTCCATTCTTTTCATTTTGAAAGTACTGAAGGTATAATTATCCTTTTTCACAAACATGCGTACAACGTAGAAATTCAAGGTCACACCAAGCCTCCGAGTGGTCGAGTGAGTGAGGCAGTTAATTTCTCATTTTCCATCCACAATCGAAACATTTTCTGGTGCATATATTAGCTTCGGATGGTACCCCACAGATCTGCAATGTATAAATGCAACGTTCAATCTCACACAATTGATACTTACTCTTTTACAGAAAAGTCCCCTGGCGCTGATGTACCGGGTGAGACAACCATCTATAAACCGACTGAAAAAAAACCTCCACCGTACCCTCAGCTCGGCGGACGTTCGCACTGATTGTAAAATTCGAAAAAAGATCCACACAGAACCAACCCAGCATCAGCCGAAGTTACCAACAACAGTGACGTGTGACACTTAAAACTTGATCTAAATTTATTTTAAAATTGAAATAATTATCAATTAAATGTGTAATAATGTGCATTTCGTATTGCCACGCGAGATTTGTCTAATTTCATGTCCAGTGCGTGTTTTATCTCAGTCTTTGAAGAATTTCAAGTTCAAATTGTTTTACATACAGGGTAACCACATTAGTATATTATATATATATATATATATATATATATTTTTTTTTTTGCTGCCATTGTTATACATTTATACTATCTTGCATGCAAACTCGCAAGTGGACGTATAACCTCGGCCAGAAATCGATACACTACTAGTATCATCTATAAATGATAGATCTATAAATGAGACTATCGTTCAAAAAATGTGCAGATAGTCAACCTTGAGTTTCTATTGCAACATGATCGATTACATCGTTCATTGTTTATAATCTCTGAAATAAACGATCGAAGCATCGATTGTCGAATCCCTTCCTTCGAAGGTAGCGCTAGATAAAAGTCACCCACGTCGCCGAACTTCACTTGGTTATGTAGTCAGTCGTCATTTCGAATAAAACAATAATGTTGTTTTTATTATTATTGACGGACTACCACAAATCGAAACATTATCGACGCTGTGAACGTTATCAAATATTCCCACTTACGTCACAGAAGCACTTCACCAATAGAGGGCGCGACCTATTTATACAAATGTATATCACGGATTTTGTGCGATACCCATTAAATGTTTCGATATTATTTACCCACCACGTGACCGTGTTTCATGTTTTTCTACTAGTTCTTCACAATAATTCATATTCCATCGAAGATTACATTCTTAAATCTTCGCTTTTTCATTTTATAAGCCACCGTGTAAATATCGCTTAATGGTTTAGTGGCAACCGTGTTCATGTCGCATACATTGTATTACTTTAATAGCAATGACTATTATATGTGAATTAAGAAACGTGTTATTTTGAAAGTCGTATATCTGGAGGTCTATCGACGAGCGAGAGTAATGCGTAATCATGACTATGTTTTATCTTATACCAATGTATTCTGTAATCATTAATGTGTAATTCTCCGAGTTAAGAATAAATAAAAAGTATATTTGTATAAAGATAACATTTCTACCAGTATTCCTAGTAGTCATTGTGCGGAGTATTGTGTGAGGTAGGAGAGAGAAAGTGCAGAGAAAATGCGGAAATATAAAGGATACATCAAAGTAAACACGAAGACAGTACAGCGGCATTATCGACCAACGCGCAGCGGGGGTCGATGCGACGGCGTACTATCTGAGTGGATACTTTGAGGTATCCTCGTAATAACCTTATTATTATACATCTTTCCTTCCAAGGATACATCATGAGAATGCGTAATATATTTGGAATTCGCATTTCCTAATATGCTAGAATGAAAATACCCCGTAAAATACCGCAAAATTACAGCACGCTGTAACTTATGGCGTTACGGTGACAGATGTATAATAACTGTTGCTGTCATTGAGTAATTTTCAGATACATGGAACACAATACCTTGGTATCAATCGCGGTTGTGGCTACAAGCGTGATTCGAAAACTGAGAAACTCCATCGATCACAAACTGAACATGAATTTTATCGTAAACTTGCTACAGTATCTAGTTCTATATTCATTTCTGCTCAAGGGGAAAGGAATGTTACGTCATAATTATGTCCGTTGTACTTGTCTATAGTTGGTTGTAATAATAATATAATAATTCAAGTATTTGATATAACACTAAGTGTTTGCATATAAACGTTTGACTTATTCTATTATGAACTCCTTGAAATGTACAATTGCTTTTTTTACATAGTTTGGGAAACCAACCAACGGGGTTAACGGTGTACTTCACGTACAAACTTCAAACAAGCCCGCAACGTAATGAGCAAAATCAACGTGATTGAAACCTGCAAATCGTTTATTGTGAGTGTGCCGTTTACTTTAGTACTCTAGTTTATTACTTTGTACCCCTGCTTTGCAACATTCCATGAAAAAGACCATTTTCCGGTCACTGCGAGATCCCGCGTTATGTGTAAAATTGAACGTAAAAATAACAAAGGTCATAGCGTCGTAGTCGCGTCAAACATCGCGTGGGATTCGACAAACGCGAAAGTATTTTTGGGGATATTTCCATGCTTAATAATGTGCTGTCCACATTTGATGAGAGGCAATTTCGATGAGGTAAGGGTATTCAAACGGAATATCCCTTTGTCAAAGATCGGCCTTTCGATGTGAGCTACGAAATAAAGAAATTCGAGTTCAAAATCAAATCGTTCGATTTTTGCAACAGACATTCGGCGCAGCGTATTTCACGCAATTCGCGAGATCTCGCAGTTGTACAAACAATCACCTATTATCTTTATACGTTTGTTAAAGCGCCACACACACCGCGCCGCGTTGTGTTTCATACACACAACTCACAAAATCTTTAAATACAATCATTTAATTATGATACTGGTGATAACAATACTGTTAGTCTTTGAGGGAAGCCGACAAGATAACTGGCAGCTAACATGTACATTTATCTGTTTTATTCATTGAACAAGAAGCATAATTATTTCTCCAGCAAAACGTCAAAATATTCAGATGTAGTTCCATGGCTCTTTTTGTGTTTGTACTCTGTCTTTGTGGTTGTACTTTAGTAATTTCTTGGAATTCATTATTTTCGGATAATATATTTATATCATTATTCAGTACTATAGGCCATGGGTTTACAAGTACAATAATGAATATTCTTGAAAATAAATAAATAAATAATCCCCCAGTCATAAGTTTTCGGCGTTTCTGTAATGAAAAGAAAATAAACTTGCCTAGATTTACTAATGTTTTTGAATTACTTGAATTAATTAATGAAATAAATTTCCATTCTGTTGCTGGAGAAAAATAAAAGTGTGGAATAAATTTTAGCCTAAGATTGGCATATTGTGGGCAAATTAGAAGCATGTGATGTTCATCTTCAATTTGATTACAACAAAATGAACAAAACCTCTGTTCCAGTGAAACCCCTCTCCCAGTCTCAATATTTAGGTCATGTGCCAAATTCGAAAACAAGACAGTGCCCTTCTATAAGTAACATTTGAAATACATTCTAAATACTTTTCAAAAGTCATATTGCATTTAAATTTACAGTTTGTACGCATTTTGGGATACCCTGCAACCCTAGTAAACCATTCTTGCACAGAAATATCAATACTTCGCTGTTAAAATTCATATAGAAAGAGGTCATAGTTTGCCACCTGTTGTTTTACCCCTACTTCACCAAAACCACATTTATTTAACAAGTTTTTGACATACAGTGACCAGCAATTTAATTCATGGTTTGCCCGAGTATACTGGTATTGATAACAATCTTTAACAGTTTCTGGGGAGTCTACTTTAATACATTTCAACCAAAAACGAATTATTTCAATGTTAATAAATGTATGTATTTGGTGTCTACCCAGCCCCCACCCCCGACAGCACAATTTGTGGCTTTCAAATTGACTCCCAGCATAAATCTACAAATTTATAGTGAATTTTGTCAATATCATCACATTTATGGACTCCCCAAATTGCGCTGCCATACAAATTTACAATTAACAATTTTAATAATACTTGGTTGTATTCCCCCAAATGTATAAAGCATACTTTGTAGGGAATATAGCAACACAGACGAGAAATTGCTCCTCCCATAGACTCCAGTTTAGACTTGCGTCCATAAACGTTGGGACGCAAAATTGGGACGCCAAGGTGCCAATTAACACTAAACTTGGCTACCGGCAGGCGACCAAGTCGAGGTACCGAGTCCACGGTTATATACGGTTCCCGCTCGACAGTAGTTCAATATCTGTAGTTCGATATTACAAGTGAAAACACAGTTTACATTGATCATTAAATTTACACATTGTATTATTTAAAGCGGGAGGGTCGTCACCTGCGCACGCGCGGGAATTGAGCCCCAGGCGGCGATAACAACACACGCTAAAAACGCAAAGACTCACGGGTAGACGCTTGTTTGTAAACAGTGACACACTACAGCCATCTGACGCATGCGCGGGTGACAACTCTCCCGCTTTAATTTGTTTGTTGTCAGTCAAAACGCTTGTGGTCATATTCTATTTTAGCAAATGACTCTCACAGGAGCTACGTACGGCAGTGTGCACTATAAGCCGACAGGACGCGCCACTGACGCACAGAGATTTGTCGTGACGCAACTGGCTGTGCTAATTCTAGCGCATTATTGACGCAACAGAAAATCATTACATTGTTATTAGTGATCAGTACAGTCACGTACAATTTATTTCTTATTAAAGATCGACCTCCTAGTCAACAAGCTGACTCAACTTGATTTTTGGGGATTCCATTTTGATTCAGGATTCCAAAAAAATCGGCCTAGCGATCTAAAACCCTGTAATAGAAATTACATCAGACCGATCGTCAAGCTTTTCGCTCTGGTGAGTGGTAATTAAACACACTGTCGAAATTAACATTGATCGATCATATAATATGAGAAAACCGTGTGCTTTTACTGCCTTTTATCTGAGATTTCACTTTCCGAGAGTCAATGGGAGGGACAACATTTCTCCTGTGTTGATAAAATCATACTATCCGATACTAAATTTAAAGACACCAATATACCAGAAAACATCACCACAAAAACTAAATTGCAACACAACCTATTCAGCTATGCAAAGAACCCGGAAATGCTGAACACCATGTATGTTCTCAGACGGCATGACAGATCTCCACAGTATCCCGTGTACTATTAACATTTGTCATAGTATTATCAACCAACATCATGTTCTCTGATTGGCCCGAATGTTAGGAGTTAGGGCTGGGTAGCCAATCAGGTGCATTATATTATTAGTTTCGCATTGACTCAAATCGACGCCTGAATACATGATATGCACAGGCTGAGACACCTCAACAGCTTTACCAAATCTATCATACAATCTCAAACACAGGTACATACGTTTTGAGTATCGTTTGAGTTTCAAACTTTCGTTACTTGGCTGAACTATTGAACGCAATATCATGTTATTGACGGTGCGTTTATTTAACCTATTTGAGCCTTATGATCCAATGTTGACACCAGGAATTCTACAGTTAAGAATTAAGTGCTCCATCAAACTTATTTTCGGATTACATTGACGACACGAAACCGAAAATAAAGCTCAATAAAACGGTTAGTTTTCTTATCGAAAGAGGAAGGGGAATTTAAAAGAGAGAGAAAGAGAGAAAGAGAGAGAAAGAGAGAGGGTGAAGAAGAAGAGAGAGATGGGTCTTCTCCGAGCCCTAAGACGTATGGTCTATGTTAGGCTATGCTGTCAGTGTCAAGTTTATACTTTCACTTTGAGTGGTTCAGAGTTGTCACGACCATTCATATGTACTTCTTATGTTAACCTGTCCACCCACTACTGAATGTTACTCTTGACTAATGACCGTGTATTCTCAGAATGAAGTACACTAGATTTATATGTGAATAACTTTATGTGTATTATTCATTCGCGGCCGTTCGATTCCATAATCCCATTTACGATCCCGAATACGATTTTGAAATGTATTCTAAACCTGATTTAAAATCCACCAAAACGTTTTAGTAGACAAGATAGATGCATGTTTTTTTTTCCACTGTGATATCGAAAATAATAAAACATAAATAGGAGTGAATGAGTGAGTAGAAATCAGATACACTTACCTGTCTCTAAGGTTCCTACAGTTAGACAATTTGCAGTCAAAACAGTAAAAATTCTAAAAAAAAATCTTCCCAGTAAAATTAATGGAAATTCCAATAGTATAACCATTAAATAAAAAGTGATAAAAAGCTACTTTTAAATAGGGCTTTAAAAAGATGCGAGTTTCGCCCCCCCCATAAAAACGCTCTCTACAGTTCAGTTTTATATGCCACAATTCTTTGCAAAATCCAATATGGAGTTAATGCATTTCTTCCCCATATGCTCCACAATTATTGGTTGTTTGTTACCATTGATCATGCGGAAAGGTCAAATAGAGTACATTAACTGCTCAGCTCCATAGGTCGCAGAGCTAGGCATATAATAATATGAGGTTATTACGAGGATACCTCAAAGTATTCACGAAGACAGTACAGCGGAGTATCGACCGACGCTCCATATCCCATATTTGGAATTCGCATTTCCTAATATGGTAGGATGAAAATACCCCGTAAAATCCGGCAAAATTACGGCACGCTGTAACTTATGGCGTTACGGTGACAGATGTATAATAATGGTCGACGTTTGATGATATGATTATTATCTTTTGTTTCCATGACGCTGATGAGATGTTCTATATCGGTTTTATTTGTTTATTCGTTTCAATAATTTGGCGAAATTCCATTCTGAAATTATTCAAGTTGTAAAGACCACAACTTACTAGTAGTATAAAATGAAATGTATTCTCGATTTCCTTGTCCTTACAGTAGATACATTTTGTTCCAGCTTCTGACCAATGTATCTGCATGCTTGACTGTGAGCACTGATTTTCAATTTACTTTGAGCAGCTCCATGTAAATATATGGTCGCAATTTTGAGGACTCAGTCGGTGGCCGCATTCATATTATGTCAACAGCATCCACTGAAAAAATATATACAAAGTAAAAGTATATACTATACTCAGATATGGCCAGAAATAATTACACAGCGATGATATTTACCCGCAATTGTAATACATACAGTGTTGACGCGGTACTGGTGACCCGATGTCATGACCCGTGTTGTTGATATAGCTGGACGTGTCGTACTGTGCCGAGCCATATTGGAGTACAACCCTGGGACCGCAAGATACTATATATAGGTAAGTTAGACTGACTACAGGGGGAATTATTTGTTTACGTTTGTCATGAATATAATCAATGAACCGAATGTAATCTTGCTCGATTCGAGCAATTGACCCCGTTCGAATACTGAATACTAAAAAAAAAACGGTTGCCCCTTTCAGTTCATGAAGCATGCATTTAGCTGGTGGGTGCGGCGTTATTTTGACCGCACGTCCGATGCTGAGCAGATTGGATCATATTCCTCCAGGTTGAACCCAAAACCCCCAACCTATTCCTAGTTCTAGTCACGTACCAGCCATTAGCACTCAGTGACACTCGGAAGCGGGTGACCTTGCCTATCTTGCTTTACCCATGGAGCTAAGAATAGATCTATTCTTAGCTCTATGGTTGCTCTTTGGTCGGCTTTCATCAAGCCAGCAAAATGTCAGGAAATGGAATTTGAATGAAAAAAAAACAACAAAAAACAGGAATTAGCTTTTCTCGCCACGATGGCAAACACTATTTCATTTTTTGCATTTTAACCTCCGGCGATTCAACGGTGAATGTGTTCACGGGAGTCAATAGAGGGCGCCAATTCGCTCAAATTAGAGCCGAGCATTCAATGTCAACACCGACACGGAAATTGGAGCATAATATTTTTTGACCTGATAATAAAGTGATGATGTCTATGGTTTTGGTGTACGGAGAGGTAACATGGCCTTGAACAAAAAAATGTACATTAGTTTAATGGAAAAGAATTATTTCATAATAAAGAGGTACGAATTTTCGTTTTATTGAAAAAATAAATAACAGCTATCTCGTTATAACGAGGCACAAAATAGCACACGGAACGTCACATAATAATACAGAACTGGTGGGTAGCCGGCGCAGAGAAACAAAATGTTCTTTAAATCAAAATATCTAGACATTGGCCGATTGTATCTTTGTTTCATATTATTCTAACAAAGTTTAAAGTGTATCTCAATACAACTTGCAAAGCATTGGTTGTCATGGAAGGCGATAAAATGCAAGAAGCTGCAGTTTTTGTTGAGAAGTGTTATGCACCGGGACTGAGTTCTGACGAGCTAAAGAATGTCTACAACGAATACAGTACAAGGTATGATAAGGTATGTTTCTTATGTCGGGAATATAAATATTATGATCTGGTATACTGTAAACCAATTAAGGCATTGAATATAGTTTGCCATGAATGATCTCCCAATTAAATTACTCTCACTTAATGTGAGGGGTATTAGAAACAATATAGAGAACCAAATTATTTGCATGGTTGAAACGCAAAAAATGCGACATTATTTTGCTGCAAGAGACTTACAGTTCTCAAGAGGTTGAAGAGCAGTGGACAAACAATGGAATGGCAAAATATTTTTCTCACATGGTACTAATCACAGTAGGGTGTATGTATTTTATTT